ATAGAATATGTAATGATAATCTAACAAAAATAATAATTTGTAGGTACCTCATGATGGTCCCATGTGTGATTTACTTTGGTCAGATCCAGAAGATACTCAAGGTTGGGGAGTTTCACCACGTGGTGCTGGTTACCTATTTGGAAGTGATGTTGTAGCACAGTTTAATTCTGCAAATGACATTGAAATGATTTGTAGAGCACATCAGTTAGTTATGGAAGGTTATAAATGGCACTTTAATGAGACTGTTTTGACCGTTTGGTCGGCACCTAATTACTGCTATAGGTAAATGAATATTCAAATATCAAGTAATTACTTTTTGATTTTTTTAAAACTAAATATTAATAATATTTTTCTTGTAGATGTGGAAATGTTGCTGCAATATTAGAATTAAATGAACACCTTCAACGAGAATTTACAATATTTGAAGCAGCACCACAGGAAAGTCGAGGAATACCTAGTAAAAAGCCCCAGGCTGATTACTTTTTATAAAAAAAATTTAACTGAAAAAATGACTGCATAAACCAAAATATCTCCAAATGTTTCTTTTTTTTTTAAAGAAAGATATCATTTCAAATGATTGCATGACATATATTTACAAAAAAAGTAAGAAGATTCACATAGAAGAAAAGGATCATGTAGGCAAAGACAATGTTGATTAATTTGTAATTGAATATTATCAATGGACTGCTATCGGTATTGAAAATATCAATTTGATATAATAAATATTATGAGTACATGTGTTTTTCAATATTATATGTTTGTTAATAAGAGAACATGTATGATTCTACAGACCATACTAAATAGTTTTGTCTTTGATGATAGAAGTATATGTCTTTTAAAAAAATGTGCATTTTATCATTTCTCAAGCTTTAAAGATACATTCACGTGTTAAATAAAACATTTATAATACATCTAATTACTATAATGAGATGAAATTTCTTTTGCCGTTTGTGGGAATTAATTTCTGTAATTATTTCATAAAAAATGTTTTTAATATGTGTAAAATAGAATGAAACAATAGAATATGTTATTTCATTTGTACAAATATTGTACAAATACTTAATTTGTATATGTTCTTATTTATAACTAAATTCTAGTGATTTAAGATAATTGTTCTTACTCCTTTTTTTTAAAAAAATCGTATTTTTACATATACTTTCCTAAAATACTGATTTACGATTTAGCCAAATAATAAAATAGAAAATGTAATTAAAATTTATAAATAATTATTTGATTTTACTTAAAACATATTTTTATGTAACTACATATATCTTCAGCTATTTTGTTAAAGTAACTAATTGTTTTGTAAGTTAATTGTACAGTGAATTTCGAAAATAATTTTAATCAATCTTCCATTATAATAATTATTTCAAAGATTAGTCATTTTATTTTTATTAACTTTTATTTTGTATCATTGCTAATAATATATTACTTTTTACTAATAATTTACATATTTTTAAGAATAATTATAATATAAATTTAATATAATATAAATTTTCTGATATTCTGTGAGTGATAATTATGATAATGAATTATGTACATATAACAAAATAATATCAAACAACTATTAAACAATTACAGTAATATATATATTAAATAAATATCTTTAATAAGTATTAATTAGTATTATTTATATATTAGTATTAATACAAATTTTGTAAGTATATGTACATTTTCGTTCTAAATTTCTTTTTAACAATTATTTTTAAAAATATAGAAGCTAAGAACGATGAAATATCGTGATATTACATATTATATTTTATAGTTCTATTTTTTTGTATATGTTGGCAATATCATTCACAACATATGTACAGAGGTACCAAAATGTGTTTTTTCTGTTGAAATATAAATACGGAAAATACGTGACGTGTGATGTTTTAATTATTTAACGAACATTAAACGTTAATGAAATTAGTTGATAACTCTTAGTTATTAGTGTATTGTAAAAGTTGTTATCCATCGTACAATGACATAATTCACTTGTATATAGTAATAATTGCTTGTTTACATTAACATAACCTATTAAATTATGGATATTCCAACACCTTCGAATGTAAATCATGGATTTTCTCATAATACTGATGGATTTTTAAATATATCTATTGAATCTCCAAATTTGGATCCATTATCGACAAAACGTAGAAGGTGCTTATTAATTTTTATTTATAGATGTATTTGCAGATGTAAATATTGTATTCATACGTTGTATGTCCTACGTATAAAGAATATTTAATTTCATTTAATTGTGTGATATAATTATATAACATAATATTATTTCATTAAAAATACCTATGTCAATTGTTTTCAAGTTGATATATTGAACTGTACAGATGTTTATGTTCCTTAATTTTACATTAATTACTAACAAACAGAGATTAATTTTGTAAATATTACAAATATAGAATTAATAGAAAAAATACTAGAATTAATAGAAAAAAATATTTTTACATTTTAAACATTTGATTTGTATTAATTTATTAGATTATTATTTTTATTATTGCTATTAATATTTATCACTTGCTTTGTTATTTTGCTATTAATTTATTTCAAAAAAATTTTATCTAGGATTAATTTCATAGTATTTTGTAATAAAAAGTTTTAATAAAAATTCTACTCAAATTATAACCTTAACAAATAAGTTTGTTTAGTTTTCAGGAAGAATTATAAGATTTATAGTAGTAACACAAATTTTATAACGAATAGTAATGTATTGTTTATGACAATTGTTTGTAATATATATATATATATATGACTTAATTTAATGAAATATTTGAAAATGTGAAAGAAATATTTGTATTTGAAGTAACTATTTAAAGTAACTAAAATGAAATATATGAATGTAGAATGAACAATTTATTCAGTCATTTTTAAAGTTTAAAATTGTATAATTCCGCGTGTAGGTAGAAAAATACAAAAATGAAAATTACATCTTGTATATAGTATTGATTATGTAATAAATATAATTAGGAAGAAATAATTAAGAATCATTTGTTCAATTTTTAAAATGTTCTTTTTATATATTTTGTACATTTTTATATATTTTTTTTTGTATATTTTGTACATTTTTATATGTTTTTTTTATATATTTTATACATTTTTGTATTTTATATTTTTTATAAATTTTATATAAGTAGAATTATTAGTAAAAGTTATATGCAGCAAGTAAGAATAAAAATAATTAATCAGATACTTAAGAAATCAATTAAATTAACCAATATAGATTAATACATATATATATATATATCTGTGTGTGTGTGTGTGTGTGTGTGTGTGTGTGTACTAATTTGTATTAAATTTTCTAGTTCTTCACGTACAATAAAGCGTAGAAAATTTGACGATGAGCTTGTTGAAACAACATTCAATTTACAACCCCCAGCTACAAGTACAAAGTCTGCCTCCAGATCTAGGACCGTCTCAGTTTCTACTACTCCATTAGAATCTGCTGTTCCTCAACAAAATGCACCAAGTCCCATTCAGGTTTCTACAAATGTTTCTCAATCAGATAGATGTAATAGACGAACAAGTAGACCAGGTGCGTCAAATGCTCCTGGACGAAAAAACAAAAAGAATAAAAATCATTCACATTCAGTGAATGCCACAAAAGATTTAGGAAGATGGAAACCAACAGATGATTTAGCATTGATCACTGGTGTACAGCAGACAAATGATCTTAGAATGGTATTTATTTCATTTATATATTGCAAATAATTAATATACAAATTTAATTAGTTAGAATTTTATAATGTTATACTTAGAATGTTACAATGCTAAAATTAAAAACATTGTTTTCCCAAGTATGTTGGTATTGTTAGTATGATTCACTTTCTTTTTTAAAATAACAGTATAATAATAATACATAATTGATGTAAAATAGGTTCATAGAGGCACAAAATTTTCTTGTCGTTTTACATTGCAAGAAATACAACAAAGATGGTATGCTTTGCTATATGACAGTGCAGTTTCAAGAGTAGCAGTACAAGCTATGCGTAATTTACATCCAGAATTAATTGCTAGTGTGCAAGCAAGAACTTTATATAGTAAAGCAGAGGAAGATCTTCTGGGTACAATAAAATCGGTAATTAACTATTTTAATTCAATAAAAGTAAAATCATCATTTTTAAAATCATATTAATAATTGCAAAATATTATATTTTTTATGATTTACATTTATTTCTTGACAGAGTGTAATAGAATATGTGAGTACATCACTAGTGGATTCAGAACACTAAAATAAGACAAAGAAATTCATGTAAATATATACCCGATTTTGTTTCTAAGATAGAATCAAATTTCTACCTTTCAATAATTCATTTGATAAACTGAATTTTTTATTTATAATTTTTTATTTGATAAACTGAATTTAATTATTTATAAATAATGGTTATAAATATATCATTAATAATTGTTAACAAATTCGAATAATACTAGGCAACTTTTAATGAATCAGAATTTTAATGGTAAGGCGTTTATCTTTCAAACCGAAAGTGGTCACTTTGAACAAGTTCTTTAAAATAAATAAATAATTGATACAATATAAAAAGAGCTATATCTCAAAAACAAAGTTGTATATATTTATGTGAACTTCTTTTATTATTTTAGTATGCTGAACCGACCAGTGAAGTTGTACCCATATATTCTATTGTGTAATAAGAGAACTTTATATCTGTTTAGACTACCCAACCAACGGTAGAAGTTTTTCAAGAACTTTTTGAAGCAAATACTCATACATTTTATTCTGCTCGAACTGCAAAAGCTTTATTAGCTCACTGGCAGTTAATGAAACAATATCATCTACTTCCTGACCAAACAGTACAAAGTTTACCAAGAGGTGAACATGTTCTTAATTTTTCTGATGCAGAAGAAATGATTAATGACACAGAATTAATTGAACAAAAAGATGAGCTGATAGATGCAGAACTTATTGCAGCAGATAGAAGAAATAAAAGAGAAATAAAGGTGTTAGAAAATGAATTGAGCAGATGGCAGGTCTTAGTTGATAGTGTAACAGGAGTAAATCCGCCAGATTTTGATAATCAAACTTTGGCGATACTTAGAGGAAGACTCGTTAGATATTTAATGAGATCACGGGAGGTAATTTTCGAAAATAATTAAAATTAACTTTCGAAGCTATATTGTATGAAATTTCTATTTGAAGTTATTCTTTTTTAAATTTTGTATTCAAACTTTTTGATTAGATCACTGTAGGTCGTTCAACAAAAGATCATAATGTAGATGTAGATTTATCATTGGAAGGCCCAGCTTGGAAAATATCAAGGAGGCAAGGAACCATTCGATTAAGAAATAATGGAGATTTCTTTCTTTCCTCAGAAGGGAAACGACCAATTTTTGTAGATAGTAGACCCATTCTTGCAGGAAATAAAATGAAGCTGAATAATAATAGCGTAATTGAGGTACTAAATCAGTTTAGTTTCATTATATAAAACAAAATATGAAAAATAAAATAGAATATTTTATTGAATTATTTCTACAAAATATATAATATTTTCAATGCTTTTTTTTTAGATTGCTGGTCTGAGATTTATATTTTTAATAAATCAAGAACTGATTTCTGTTATACGTCAAGAGGTAGTCAAATTAAATTTGAAACCATGAGTGTTCTATTTCATTCCATAATTAATATTATGCACTATTATAAATGATGTATTGTCTCGTATACGTTTATCGCATTATATAGGAGTTTTGTATAAAGTAAATAATTGTTCCATTAAAAAATTAATAAATTTTGCTCAATTTTGTATATTGTAACTTTGTTTCCTTGTTAATATCAGCTTACAAATATTGTTTAAATTAGACAATAAGATTATTCATACTTGCATAGAGCAGTATTAAATCTTTACTTACATTTTACACTGAAAAATGAATACATAATAAAAAAAAAATCTTAAATAATTTTACATTTAAACAAAATGTAAATAATATAAAAATAATATGTAAAATAGTAAATAGTTTGGGTTTTCTATTGATTAAATAAAATTTTGAGAAAAAAATGCTACAGAAAACTTCTTTAAAGATTTATTAAAAAAAAAACAATATGAAAAGATATAGGAAAATTTGTTTTTGAATATTAAAAAAAAAAATTAAGTATAATTTTTATATACTAATAGTTTGTATTAATAGTATTGATATTCTTTTAGTGAAATTGAAGATATATATTTTATTAGAAGTAAGAAATGTTAATACATATAATATTGCTCTTAATTTCATTATTTAATAGGAATAGTAAAAAGTTGTTAATCGTTTGTTGTTAAACATGAGGTTGCAAGTTTTTTATATTTTGGATTTATGACATGTAATTATTGAGATATATGCTATTTTTATCTTTTAAATGTTTCAAAATTTCATTTTATTTAGTAAAAAATTAATTTGCAAAGTATACGTAAAAAGCACATAAATTATTTAATAAAATGTTAAAAGTTTTAAAAAATAAATAAGTTAAGAATAATACATTTCCAGAATGTGAAATTAAATAAAATAATATATATATATTATATGTATATTGTTAACTACATAGATTGCTCTTAAAAAAAATAAAAAAATAAATTTAGATCTTATCAAATCTCATTAGGAGAGACTAACAATGAAAATAATTATGTATGCCGATTAATAATTTTTTTTTCCTTCTAATTACTAAACACTTTGAACACTTTTTTTTGCAATAACAAAATTAATTTTTCAAATTTTAATAAAAATATTAATATTATTATTAATAATACATTAAAGGTATGAAAATATCCATATTTTTTGTTGGTTAGAATAGTTAATCAGTTTTATATATGTATTTATGTACATACATAAAACATAAAAATTGATATGAAACTTTATAATGCTATAATAATGACAAGTACAGAATTTTTTATTTTTGATTTAAATTAGTTTTTTTTCTTCTTTTTCTAAATTTTTAAATTAGCGTAAATAAAATTCAAGAATTATTGCAACAATAAAAATTGGAATTTAAAATTTTTGTCTTCCAAATTGGAACAGTAGGTGCTATAATTGTTATGAATTATTATAGATAATATAATGTGATAATTTAAATTATTTTTTAACACTAGCATTACAGTAAAATAATTGCAATTGCTTGCAGTAGTGTATGTTTATTTATAATATTTATAATAGCTTACATAGGACATTATTTTTATTTTTATTGATAATAAAAATATAATTCTATTTGTCAGTAATGTGTTCAGAAGATATTAAATACTCCAGATTTTAGATCTTCCATTTTATCAAAAATAATAATACAAAGAAAAAATTCATGTTTGTATAGCATGAAAAAATTCTGTAACGTTATATGCAATTTAAAAATTTGTTAACAAATGGTTAATCGTAATTAATTGTACTGTTAAATAAGATCAAAACAAATCATGTAAGATTGATATGTTTATATTCATTTTCTGAGAATAAATCTTGTTTTAAATATGATTTACATACATACACATATATTGGCTATAGTAAATTTATTTGTCATCCTTTTACAAGTTTTGCTATGTATGTATATAAATATCGAACTATCTTTGATTAAACATGTTCAAATTAAAAAATCAAGCATTTAACACAATTTTGTTATTCTTGATTTTTATCTTATTATCAGTTACGAAATCTTCTTGACTCTATTTATGTCATGAATTTTATATTAACATGTTAATTTTCTAACAATAAGATCTAACAAGCAGAGACGACGAATTTCTTCGCTGCCGTGAGTCACACGAACTGCTCATTCAGTCTGCCAATTTCCCCCACCATGAAAATTCATTCTATCCCACCGCAGAGGGCCATACAAACTACTTTCCCTATCTTTCTTTAACTTTAGCAGTACAGTAAAGAAAATAATTTATATGTATATACATATATATATATATATATATATATATA